TTTTTATTCTTATAATATAAAATTTTGTTTTGCAACACAGGGAGACAGTTTCAGAATTGGGGTTGCGACAGTCAAAGGGTTAAAGACTTAAGTTTTAAAAGATAAATATGAGGCAAAGCTTGCATACCAAACTGGAAGTTTTGCACACAAATTTGTTTTTGTAACTGGCCACCTCCCACCAATGCAGTATTTTACAAAAAAAAAAGAAGAAATATGTTTACCATGACTCATTCTATCGCTGTTGTGCCAGAGTTGCGCTGGTACTACGGTTCAAAACTGCAAATAATCCTCAAAATAGGGAAATAGGTCATTGAGTTATCGTAGGTTAATTACTATTAAATGCCGGGAGCATGGAGCCAGTAACCTCTTCTCCTGCATAAATTACTAAATTTAAGAAGAAAAACTTAAGTTTTTCTTTTTAGATCACTCTGCCTTGGTGGGATACGGCTGGTTCATCGAAAAAAAATTTGTGGAATTATCCAGAGTTATATAAATTTAATGTAATTTTGGTCTCTGTACCTTAAGACCACTGTAAAATTTATTTACAAGGAAGTCTTGTGATATTTTAAGTGCCACATATATTTGAATAGGTTGATACATATAGACCTATTCAAATATATTTGAAGATCAAATTTTTAGGGCAATAGTCAAGCTGGTCACTTCATGGATACTACTACTACTTCTATTAAAGTTTTGAAATTCTGGCAGTGATGCCCTGTTATACACTTGATTAATACTTCTTCGGTGCATCAAGGTATAAACCACACTTAGTAACCATATTTCACCTGAATTTTTTCTTTTTTTAGTGACCCAGTCATATCCCACAAAGACAGAATGACCAAAAAAAAAAAAAATGAAAGTTTTTCTTTTTAAATTTAGTAATTTATACAGGAGATGGGGTTACGAGCCCCTTGCTCCCAGCACTTTAGTTGCCTCCTACCACATATGGCTTACGGAGGAAGAATTCTGTTCCACTTCACCTGAAATGTACAAATAAATTTAATATCCAATAATTCATGCTGGCCTTTTTCCATGCTTTGTACACACAACATAGAATAGAGTAGCAATGAAGTAGGCCTACTGGCTCATGCTAGGCAGGTGTTACTCAAATCCCCCCCCCTCCTTTTTTTTTAACAAGTTGGCAGTATCCCACGGAGGCAGGGTGACCCCAAAAAAAAAAAAAATTCCCAAAAAGAAAATACTTTCATCATCTTTCAACACTTTCACCTCGCTCATACATAATCACTGTTTTTGCAGAGGTGCCCAGAACACAAAAGTTTAGAAGCATATACTTGTAAAGGTACACATGTCCCTCCTAACTACCAGTATCCCAAACCCCTGCTTTAAAGTGCAGGCATTGTACTTCCCATTTCCAGTACTCAAGTCCGGCTATATAAAAACCAGTTTCCCTGAATCCCTACCCGTCCCTCGATCATTGAACCTAAATATTGGGTAGCTTTAAAACTGGGCTTGGCAAATGTGTGAAATTGGTTGGATTTATTTAGGACCTGCTTAGCATGGGTCAGTAGGCCTACTGCAGTGCGCATGTAGCCTTGTATTATGTAATGGTTGGGTGTGAGAAAGACCTGCCAAGTATGAGTCAGTAGGTCTACTGCAGTACTCCTTTATTTTTATAAATTGTCACATATTTATATAATTTCCTGTAAGTTTTGGCTTGAATATATTTTGAATTTTAATAATTTGACCACCTTTTCAAGCCCCTCAAACACTAGGGGTAAACTTATCCATGAGATATGAAAAATTAAGGGTTTTTTTTCTCTCAAGATATCAGGGGCCAACCTATGCATGGAATCAAGTTGTGCTCAGGTATATACAGTATTTCAAGATGTAATACTCATGAAATAAGTCATTTAACTTGAGTAATTCTAGATTAAACCTGCATATACCTTTTGGCCAAATTCCACTATTAGTATCATGAAATTGTAGTAAATTTGGAATGAATAAAGCATCTTCCTGCCAGCTCCACACCCTATTTGCTGGTAGGGTAGCTAGTGGTGGAACAAGAGGTCCTGGTTTCAATGTTTACTTCTGCTGGTTAGGCAGTGTTAACCATGACCTCTCACTTGTGCCAAGGTAAAAAATATTGGCAGGTGATGTATTTGTAGGTGCAAAAACCTGTGTAGTAGTACACAGGACAGTCATCACTTGTGTACTAGTATGTTGGACATGCACAGTTAAGGTAATAGGAAGTATATTGTCTGTACATCAGTCTGAAGAATGGGTGAGAATTTTGCAGTTCAGGGGTATTTTTTAATTATGTATGCACACTTCTAATAAGACAGCTATTGAATGAAAGTGAATATTTTTCTTGGGTCTCCCTACTGTTTCTGTTAGGTCATTAATCAAATACTGTGTGCATATTGCAATATTTTCCTTGTTTTCCACTGTTGTTGATCAATTTATTTAATTTTGCAGGTGGAGAAAGTCATTGTTGAGAAACAAGAATGGGTCGATAAAAATTTAGGTGTAATTACTGCTACTGCACTTCATGTTGATCTTCCTATCACAGCATCACAAGTGCGTTCTGAAAAGTCCTCTTTTGATGCTTTAGTAAACCCCATCATAAATAAGCCCAAACCTAAACCCAAGGTAAGTTGATACTATTTTGTTTCAATAATTAACTTAATGATTTGCACAGCATCATTTGATTTATAGGTTTTTGTACAGTAGGGCCCTGCTTTACGGCATTCCACTAATACAGACATTTCAAATTATGACCAAAACTCACTATGCAGCTCCCCTCACCTGACTTTCTAATATGGTCACTGCGCCTCACCCAGTTTGTTTACATTTTCCGTAAGCTCTGTGAGAGCTCATGCCTCCATTATGTCTGAAAACTTTCCAAAATTTCAAGTTATTTCTTGTTTTATATATACTCTGATAATTAATTATAATTGTGTGTACCTGTACCTATATAAACTTGCACACTGTGCTGGCATGCATGTACACATTAAAATCACGAAGAGTGTCTTATTAATCTTGATGGCACCATATTATTAATGATAATTATACACAGTAATAATCTGAGGCGCATTTAATGTCATATATTATGTTAATATAAACATTTTCATTAATCCATCTTTGATATTTTTTCAGAATTATATAATAAACACACTACATAACATATAAACATGATAAATACAACCCACAGTAAAATAAATTAACATAAACGTGACATGTTGTGTGTGTGAACCAAAACCAAATGCATTCGTCTGCTTGCTTACATAACTCCGTGTCTCTCCTCTTATTCGTTCTCTCTCTCTCTCACTCTCTCACTCTCTCTCACTCTCTCACTCTCACTCTCTCTCACTCTCACTCTCTCTCACTCTCATTCTCACTCATTCTCACTCTCACTCTTTCTCTTTCTCTCTCTTTCTCTCTCTCTCTCTCTCTCTCTCTCTCTCTCTCTCTCTCTCTCTCTCTCTCTCTCTCTCTCTCTCTCTCTCTCACTCTCTCTCTCTCACTCTCTCTCTCTCACTCTCTCTCTTACTCTCTCTCTCACTCTCTCTCACTCTCTCACTCACTCTCTCTCACTCTCTCACTCTCTCACTCTCTCACTCTCTCTCACTCTCTCTCACTCTCTCTCACTCTCTCTCTCTCTCTCTCTCTCTCTCACTCTTTCACTCTCTCACTCTCTCACTCTCTCACTCACTCACTCTCACTCTCTCACTCACTCTCACTCTCTCACTCACTCTCACTCTCTCACTCTCTCTCACTCTCTCACTCTCACTCTCTCCCTCTCACTCTCTCCCTCTCACTCTCTCCCTCTCACTCTCTCCCTCTCACTCTCTCCCTCTCACTCTCTCCCTCTCACTCTCTCCCCCTCTCTCCCTCTCACTCTCTCTCTCACTCTCTCTCTCACTCTCTCTCTCTCTCTCTCTCTCTCACTCTCTCTCTCTCACTCTCTCTCTCTCTCTCTCTCTCTCTCTCTCTCTCTCTCTCTCTCTCTCTCTCGTTTATTCGTTTAACTCATATACTCACCTCTCTCCCTACATTAAGACTATGTACAAATATTTTAAGGTAAATAGTCAGTGTACTGTATATGCATTTCATTGCTCTAGGGCGCTTTAAATATCGTAGTGTATTACGTTGGTAGGGTGGCCTGGCTGGCTACCATACCTCCCACACCTGACTTCTTTCAGTAAATACTACTCACCTCTCACCGTACATTAACCCTTTCACTGTTGGTGCCGTAGCACTATGCCAAAATACTAGTGGCTTCAAATCTAGGGGGAGAATGCTGGTAGACGTACATATGAAAGAATGGGTCTGAGTGGTTACTGTGTGCATTATAAAAAAAAATCCTACAGCACATAATGAGAAGAAAAAGCTCTAACTATGTTTTTGGTTTAAAACACTGATTTTGCAGTGTATTTTTGTATGATATGATCGTATTCTCATTTTCTTTGTCTCACTTGATAGAATGGAAAATATATTACAGAAATAGAGATGGTTTTGAATGGTTTTCAGAATAAAAGTACCTTGAAATTGAGCTCAAAGTAGCAGAAATGTTCGATTTTTGCCGATGTTCAAGAGTAATCAAATCACACCATGCGTCCAATACACATCAACTGGTGAGTCTAATATTCTTTCACAAATGTGCTGATATTAATTATACCATTTTTACAATAATGCAGTGGTCTGCATAACAGTAAATCTTCTATTATTTGTGTGAATAAAAATTCAAAATGGAAAGCAAGCATAACATAAGAGGGACCTGGAGACATGGCTAATGAACAAAGACAATATTATTTTAGTGCTAGGAATGTCTGCGTTGTTTATTCTGGCTCCTATTTGAAATTGGCCTTACTTGAATTGTGTATGAAATTGGCCAAATTACATAACATAAAGAAGGAACACTGCAACAGGCCTACTGACCCATGCTGAGCAGGTCCATCCCCTCCCCACGTGCAGATTAGCCCAACGACCTACCCAGTATGGTTACCTCCACTCAAGGAAGGAGCACAGCACCAGACCCAGCAGCACAAGCTAGTCGGGTCCAACTCACACCCACTCACGTATTTATCTAACCTATTTTTAAAACTACACAAAGTTTTAGCCTCTATAACTGTACTCGGGAGTTTGTTCCACTCATCCACAACTCTATTACCAAACCAGTGCTTTCCTATATCCTTCCTGAATCTGAATTTTTCCAACTTGAAGAAACCATTGCTGCGAGTCCTGTCTTGGCTGGAAATTTTCAGCATGCTATTTACTTCCCCTTTATTTATTCCAGTTTTCCATTTATACACCTCGATCATATCTTCCCTAATTCTACGCCTTTCGAGAGAGTGCAGATTCAGGGCCCTCAGTCTATCCTCATAGGGAAGATTTCTGATACATGGGATCATCATTGTCATCCTCCTCTGTACGTTTTCCAGAGCATATATATCCATTCTGTAATACGGTGACCAGAACTGAGCAGCATAATCTAAGTGAGGCCTAACCAAGGATATATTGAGTTGAAGAACAACCTGAGGACTTCTATTATTTATACTTCTAGATACGAAGCCAAGAATTCTGTTAGCTTTATTGCGAACACTAATGCACTGTTGTCTTGGTTTTAGATTACTTCTAACCAGAACTCCTAAATCCATTTTGCAGTCAGTAGTATTAAGATCTACATTATTTAGTTTATATGTGGCATGGTTATTTTCCTGTCCAAGATTTAGAACTTTGCATTTGTCTATATTAAACTGCATCTGCCACTTCTCCGACCATTGCATCAGTCTATTCAAATCATCCTGGAATGCTCTAGTGTCCTCATTAGAATGAATTGGACGACCTATTTTGGTGTCATCAGCAAATTTACTTATGTCGCTATTTATTCCCTCATCTATGTCGTTTATGTAGATAGTGAACAACAACGGACCCAACACTGACCCCTGAGGAACACCGCTTGTGACGTGCCCCCATTCTGATTTCTCCCCATTTATGCAAACACACTGCTGCGTATTTGTCAGCCATGCCTCTACCCAGGAAAAAATTTAATCTCCTATTCCGTGTGCCTTAAGCTTCCTCAATAGCCTCTGATGTGGAACTCTATTGAAAGCCTTACCGAAGTCCATATACACAATATCATATTCATTATCATAATCTACCTCCTCAAACACCTTAGTGAAAAAATGTTAGTAAATTCGTAAGACAGGAATGCCCCTTTGTAAAATCTTGTTGAGATTCATTAATAATTCTGTGCCTATTAAGATGGCTACGAATTGCTTCGGCAATTATTGATTCCATAAATTTTACCCCTATGGAGGTAAGGCATATTGGTCTATAGTTCGAAGCCAAGAACCTGTCACTTGCCTTGTAAATAGGTATTACATTTGCCATTTTCCATATATCAGGCACTATGCCAGTTTGTAGTGATATGTTAAAAAGATTTGCCAAAGGTATGCTAAGTTCCTCTTTACATTCCCTTAACACCCTTACCTGGAGGTTACCTGGAGGTTATTCCGGGGATCAATGCCCCCGCGGCCCGGTCCATGACCAGGCCTTGCAAACATTTCATCAGGGCCTGAGGATTTGTTAGGTTTTAGTTTCTCAATTTGTCTGAGGATCATTTCACTAGTTACCGCAATCGTGCATAGTTTATTATCGTCCTGTTCTACATACTCTATTATTACAGGAATATCGCTAGTATTTTCCTGGGTGAAAACTGAGAGGAAGTAGGTATTTAGAATTTCACACCTATCCCTTTCACTGTCAGTTATCTGACCAGAGTTACTCTTAAGTGGGCCAATCATGTCTCTAATCTTTCTTCTGTATACCTGAGAGAACCCTTTTGGGTTAGTCTTTGAATCCCTTGTGACCTTAGCCTCATAATCCCTTTTTGCTTTTCTTATTCCTTTCTTTATTTCTCTCTCTAATTGAATATATTGATTTCTTAACTGCCCATCCCCTCTTTTGAAATGCCTATATATGCCTCTCTTTTGACGAATGAGATGTTTTAATCTATTGTTCATCCATTTGGGATCATTTTTGTTAGATCTAATTTCCCTGCTCGGAACAAAAGTTGTCTGGGCAGTTTGAACTATGCTCTGAAAAATGTCATATTGGCAACCAAGATCACCTACCTGACCCATAGTCAGGTCATGCCAATTTAGCCCACCCAGGTAATTTTTCAGTCCCATGAAGTCGACCAAGCAAAAATCTGGGACAGTGATTTGATTGCAGTTACCTGGGTAATTCCATGATATATTGAAACTAAGTGATTTGTGGTCACTTTCCCCAAGCTCATCATTGACCTCAAATTTATTAATTAATGACTCTTTGTTGGCAAGAACCAAGTCAAGCAAATTGTTTCCTCTAGTTGGTTCTGTCACAACCTGTTATAAAAAAGCAATCCTGAACCGTATCAAGAAAGTCACTAGACTCAAGATTTCCTGTCATATTGTTCCAGTCAATTTGTCTAAAGTTATAATCTCCCATTATCACAACATTTTCATATCTAGAAGCCTTATGAATTTCGTCCCATGACAGCTTAGTGCACTCCCTATCAAGGTTTGGGGGCCTGTAAATCACACCCAAAATTAATTTGTCACGACCCTCGAGAAACTGTAGCCAAATTGTTGTCTAAGACAACAATT